GATTCTCGGGTTATAAGATGTCTTATCCGTGCTGCAGTGGGTGTTTTGTTTAAATTGTATCATATGCTCGAAGTATCCTCCTGATCCACCTCTCATGGATATTTAAGTGTTAACATTTTAATTCCATTTCAACTGTAAAATGTACGGTTACAAAATAGGACTTAACCATAATAAAATATATTTAACTCTTTGTAAATAAGAAAAGAAAAAAAAAAAAGAAAAAAAAGTAGAAAATTGGGGACTACATATCCTTCCTTGTTACGTTAGAATAAAATGATTGGATAATGAATGCCTGTTTACTTTTTTTAGGTTTATCTTGCAGGTTAACACAGACTTAATGTCCTTAAAATTAGTCTTAATAAATGAATGTCTGATGACACAGGTGTCTCAAAAATTTCCTCCAATGCTTATGAATATAAATTGAAGTTTTATTTATTTATTTAGTTCAGAGATTTGTGGTAGAAGTACGTACATATATGAGATGTTGCTTTTTAATGACATTTGGAAACAATTAAGGTTATTGTTAGTTAATTTTTCTTTAGTGTATGTTTAACTTTTCAGAAAAATAAAATTAGTTTTGCTTTAGCTGGCCTGCCATGTAAGTTGTTTCGAAGACCTTTAATAAGGTTGTGTGAATAAGTTAGCTATAGCAGCAATGAATGTTTGTATGTATAAATGTTAAATGGTTTATATACTTACCCTTACCATTTTGAATTTTAAGAAAAAAAAAATTGTTTATAAAGTTTGTTTTCCCTTGTCACTGAAACGTGCTGTAAAATAATATAATTTTAAACACTGCAGAAGTGACGACTTTGTAGACACTATAAGAATAATGCCATTCTAGAGATAGTACCATTGTAGGCTGTTTTTATTTCTTCTGTCCAGGTTAAGCTTGGTGTCAGTATGGACATTCATGCCACTGTAAAGGAATTTAGGGAAAATCTTTCTAAAGACCATCAGATTCCCAGTAATCAGGTAGGTCTCTTATAATACTAGAGATAAAAATCCAAACAGCTAACATGCAAGTTAAGTTGCAGCATTCAAGAAATCCATAGTAATTCTGTTCTGTTTCTTGTGGCATGCACCTCTACCTAATTCCACTTAATTGATACTGGAGAATTACTAATTCTAGTCAGAAGCCACCATCTGAGTTAGAATTAAATGTGTGTAATCTGTTATGTTACATACAACATAACGGGTATAGTGTAATGTTGCCTTGTGGGACATTTATCTATTTACCAGTTTTGATGCTCAAATATATATCATGATATACTGATAGTATTTTTTGACTGAATGTTACAACAACACTTAGTAAGTTTGGAAGTCATATGAACCTACATTCATATTAAGAAATAAGTTTACAAACAAATAATAAAAACAAAAGAATATCGTGAATATTGTATTTCAACTACGACTGATTCACAATTTAAGATAAGTGGTATAATCACACGTTCTTTAAAGAAACTATG